TAGGTATCGAATATCAAAATAAATAACTGTCGCGAAATTTGAAATCTCTATTTATTAAACTTTTCTAGATGAACGGTTTTTTGTATTTTTACAAATGTTTTTGTAATATTTCCATTCCATTTCGTAAGTACTTCTTGTATAAAACTTTTCAATTTTTAAGGTAGTATTATTGAAAAGTCGTTAATTGAAATGTGTTCTTATAAAAATAATTAAAAATGTAAAATATAAAAAATATAAATTAAAAGTATAAAATGCTAAATGAAATTTTTCGACTAAATCCAAAAATAACAGCACACTTAAGAGCTAAGCAGAATGCTCGCGCTGAGTCATCCGACGCGTTACGTTAATCGTTAGTGTTATCGTTTCCTTGTGGTTGTTGTATTTTCGATAACATATAACGCGACGAATGGTTCAACGCGAGCATTCTGCTTAGCCCTTTACATACAATAGAAAATTCAGGATTTTGTGCGAGTAAACCAGAAATACGTATTTGGGAAATTAACATAATTATAAATATCAAATTTCAAAAGAATTTGAGTTTAAATCTTAATTTTTATTATAAAATTAGTGTTAACAATTTTTTCTTTTGTAAACAAGTGTGTGTGTGTATATGTAAACAAATGCTAGCTAACAGTCATTTTAAATGATCTCAAATCCAGTGTAAATAACTTTAATTTATTTTCATTTATTGGGCTATAAGCATGGTATAATAATAGAAGGTAACAGCAAGTGTTGTTGTACAAAAAACGATACAACAACCACATGGAAATTTGTTGTTGTAAGTTGTACTAGTGTCAACTCATTTGACAGAAAAATGTAAACAAACAAACAAATTATCATCAAATTATTTTTATTTTGAAAATGACATTTTTTTAAATCCTCAAAATAAAAATTGAAAAACATGAATGAAAATCTATCAAATTTATATTTCTATCTATTCCACATCTTTCCTATAATTGAGCCATTGCCATATATATGTGTAACACATATGAAAATTCTGGGAATAGCGAGTTATTCCTTGAAGAAAGATTTGCTTCCTCTAACCTTCCCAGCAGGCAGATTGAGTAAATTGAATACAGGAGCACATTTAATAAAGAACAATTTTAAATTGTATGCGTTCCCAATTTTCCTGTTGGGTGCTTTTTAAAAACATAATTTGTCAAATTCATATTGACACTAGTATAACGTTGGAATCAAATCAGCTGGGATTTGCTGTTATCTTTTATAATTGTACCATGGGCTATAAGGTGCTGAAATGGTCACACTGATTACATCCTTTAATTGCGATAAAGAACAATGTCGTTTAACTGCCCGTGAGAACATGTCATAAAAATGCTTTACGAATGCCTAATCGAAGCCAATACCGATAGTTCATTTTAGTGAATAGTTGAGTTGTATAGGCTCATTTTTGAACAACACAACTCGAGTATTGGGCAGTCGTGTTTTATAATTGTGTGAAGGAAGACGTAGTTGGAGGTTCGTTCGGTGTAATAGAGAAGTTGTAACGGTACGGTTTTCAACAAGTTTAAAAAGGAAATTTTGCTCAATAGCTTTTTGAAGGTAACTTGGTGCAATTGAGGTTATTAACTATCGTTTTTTTATCAATGAAATTCGAGCATAATGCAAAAATATGTACAATGATTGTTGGAGGATGCCAATAAAGAGATGAATTGAAAGAATCCAAACAATGGCACCTTCGTTCGTTTGTATGCATTCTTTTGTTTATATATTCTGGTGTTGCAGCTTCGGGTTTGCCTTTGCTCTCTCTAGCACAAAACAAAAGGACGTGTGTGTGTTGTTTGTGTTACCTTCAGGAAAGGGCTTATTTGGCCGGATTCCAAGTCCGTTCGCCGTTTTCTTCGTTTCTTTGTTCGTTTGAATTGGTGTCAATTGTTGTTCTGTTTGTCACAGACGGAAGGCTTTTTCTCCGAGTAAACGAGAAGTGGTGCGATGATGAACTGAAGAAGTGTGTGATTTACAGCCATCCGAAGAAAACAAACAAATGAAAATGTTGAGTTAATTTTAGACAAAGTGGGAATTTTTAAATAAATAAAAATAGTTGAATGAACTTTCGTGATGCTCTTCTCGAAAATTGGTTCTCATGTGAAAATGTGTATGTACGCTGAAATTACTAAAATCACGATTAATTGTATTGTTGTTGTTGGTGTTGTAGATTGGGTATTCTATACCTACCTGTATAGCATCGCCATAAAAATAAATCTAAAATTTCAATCTACCTGAAGGCAGATGACTATAAAAAACAACATGCCGACAGATTTCGTTTGTGGTTTTCAAAATAAATTCGAAAATAGTGACCCTAATAAATGAAATGCAAATAACCGCCTAAAAGGCCTCACAATGCCACAGTTATAATGCGCAGTATGATTATGTACAATGCACTACGGACTTACTACGCATATATGCATCTCCAAACATGAAGCATTGTTGCTGCTCTAGTTCTACCAGTTGTAGGGGATTTTTTGTTGAAACAGTCCACTGTGTAAAAGCAATAGGGCTGCTACAACAAAAAACAGCATAACTTGTTGTTGTAGTAATTGGTGTAACTATAACAACACAAACCAATAATTCGGCCGCTGAAGGAAAATATCGAATTAAGAAGTTGAATGGCGCACTTAGCTAACTTGGAAGCAAACATTTGATGTGTTGGCAACTCCATTATTATTCTTATTGGAAAACATAATGAGAGAAAGAGAACATTGTTTTAAAAAATAGTTATTTATATCTCTGATTTCCTATAAAATTTATAAGGCATTTTGCCTTCATTTTTTTATATCAATATACCTATGTTAATGCAATGGGGTCCTTACATGTCCAGTATTTAAATTTTTTATAACATTCATGGTTTTTGGGATTCATTTTTTCGACTTATAAAATTATAGTTGATTAGGAATAATATTAGTTGTTGATTTTGATTATTGTACAATTGTGGTAACCAATTTGATCTAATTAGTCATTGTTTTGTTTTTCAGAAAAAAATTAAAAATTTCAAAAAAAAAAGAGATTAACACGTTCGCGAATGTGTATTGAATTTACACACCGATGCAAAATAATCACGTCATTTTGCTGCAGAATTAAAATTTTTAAGTTATTCACTGAATTCTTGTTGAAAAATGTGTAAAAAATGGGCATCTATTTTGTTGACCTCTAATCACGGTTTTAATGACGTAACCAAAAAATACTTCTGTTTACTTTATATCACTTATAGTGACCAATGGGCCGGGGAGCCTTGACCTCGTGTATTTTGTACCCTTAAGTTTTGATTCTGATGGCTTATATGTTAAACTAATTGTTACCACAAAATAGGCCATTGATTGACATGTCTTGATATACAAATTCAAATTGAGTATGTCATCATTTCGATTGCTTATTTGTCAATTACTACGCTCGGAAATTAGAGGGTTATACCCAAACATATGTATAACTATTGTAATAGTAGCCTGCTAATATCGCACTCATTATTTGTTGGGTCTGTTTTTTGAATTTATACATATCGAAGCAACATATGCGGGCGATTCTTAAAAAGTGCGGCATATACATATGTATTCCATTGCATATCGGAAATTGACAAATTTCAATTAGTTTTTGTGTGTGATAAAATGATTGTTTTGGAACAGAATAGAAAGTACAAGGTTTTGTTTCAATTTAGGTATAAAAGATTGAATTCTGTGTATTATTTTTTATTCTATAATAATGGCGGGAACGCAAAAGATGGTTACTCATGTTCACACTCTATTGTATTGTTTGTTTTTCTAACTCACTTTGTTTAATCGCATTTTGTCACCCTTAATACGAACAAATATTCCACACAACTTTAGGAGTGGTGTATTTACTGTTTATTTGTTGGAATTTGTGTCAACTAAGTTGACATTGCCCTTCACAATTAAGGACAATGAGTTATTCAATACAAACGTTGACTCACGCTATGTTGTTTTTTATATTTTTTTATTGCATATAGCTATGAAATAATGTAAGGATTAAAATTTTAAGAGATTTAAGAGATTATTTTTAAAGGCGTTGCTAAGTTTTAGGTTAGAAAATTTAAGAGGTCAAGAGAAACAAAATAAGTAAAAACGTCGTTAAATTCGGCCGGGTCGAACATTCTAGACCCTCCACCATGAGGTGGACATTTAATTTACTTGTAATTGTTCGGGACTTTTATATATGGCAGGCCATGCCATGGTCAATTTTTTGAAGATGATTTGACTCCCAATTATAGCAAATTCGGAGAAAACCCATGCCCAAATTCCCCAAAAGAAGGAAATTTGGGAGTTTATAAGGGGCTATTCTACACAGTGTACCAATATTGACAATTTATAGTAGCAAGATTTACTACCCAATGTACTACAAACTACAGCAATTGTTCATAAATTTTTTACAGAAGTCTATCAATTTTTCTTTTTATTTGAAAGGTCAATATTTCATCCAATATCGAGCTACAATGGGCGTCACTTTCAATTCGAAGTCCGATCGACTTGAAATTTTTACAACATGTTCGTTTCTACCAGAATACAAATGAAAAAAAGACTATTTTTTTAAATTTGTGAGTAGCCAAAACCCTCTAACATATCAACATTGTTAGAATAATTTCACATTTCCAGAATTGTATTATATTTTTTGTCATAATTTTTCTCAACTAAAAAACAATTACAAACATACCGTATTAAACCAGATACAGACAAATCATACGTTGTTAATGGGGGGAATCATTTAAATTTACACTTCCTGGATGTGACTCATTGTCACAATAAGATACTAAAAAATGTTCGCAAAACAGTTGTTGTATGAATGTCTCGAACACAAGCTTAAATGTTAACTTATACAAGCTGCTATCCGTGAGATAAAGGCAATCAATAAGAAAATCGCAGTTAGTTGAAATTATTTTTTTATCGAACGTTCCCATTTTATTCATTCATATTCATTTCATTTTATACTCGATTTTTTACGATCATCACTTTCCAACATTTTCTTTAATAAAATTATTTTATTTTTTTCAGATAATTTAAAGAAAGCAACAACATGGATTGTGGTACCACATTTGCCAAATATGTCCTATTTATATTCAATGCCATCGTATCGGTAAGTTTTCATTTCAAATTGAAGAAAAACTTGTAAACAAAATGAATTTATTAATTCAAAAACTGGTTTATTATGTAATAGCTGACACTTCACTAATACAAAAATATTGTGGAATAAAATTACAAAAAGAGAACCTGTCGAAGCAGAAACGAAAAAAGCTTAGCTTTAAACATGTGCAATGTTTATCTAGCCTAAAGCATTGTGTGTATATGATTCAGTCAAAGCAAAGCACACAATTCATTTTTCTTCTCCTTTTGCTTTTGTATAGTGTAACGAAATTACGTTTTGATTATATGATAATGGGGGAAAATTCAAGATCATCATTTATTTAATAAAAAAACAACAGTAAACGAGGGTATTTACAATTTGCAAATACAATACAATTGTAAGCGAATTCAGTTGTTATTTGAAAACATAAAAATTTTAGTATTCAGGGAGCTAGGTGTACTTAGTTACAGTTCTTACTTACCTTGTGTAACACTTACTATAGTGATGTAATTTCAAATGTTAATTGTTTTATGAAAATCTTTTATATTAAAAAAAACAAAATGGATTCTTTCAATGGGTAAAGTTTTGCTCTCCCCATTGTAAAGAAAAATTTCACACTTATTCTTCTAATAGTTGACATGGATCCGTGGATTCAATCAATAAAGGACAATGGAGAAAAAGGAAAGAAAGTAGAATATCGAACCACAGAAGAATAATGAATAACAGCGAAATAGAAAAATCTATCAATGAAATTTATGAGCAGACTGACAAAGATGAATATTCGACAAAGATGAACCTAATATTAGGAGATAAAATGACATGTAAAACAACAAGAGTAGATCTAGCAATGCAACTGCAAAGAACGAATATCGGAATTACACAGAAATTATTTCATAACCCCTGAACTATATGGACTATCCAAAATACACAAAGAAAATGTACCGCTTATATCATGCTACAATTATCCATCAATGGCAGAATCTTAAATCATATAATATCACCTGAATACAATATAAAGAACTCAATGGCCCTTAATGCAAAATTGGACCAAAAAGTCTGAAAGAGAATAAAATCTCTTTTGAAGTTGTATCGTTCTTTTCCAACATACCTACACATCTAGCAATAAAAAACATTCTTCACAAATGGGAAATTCTTCAAAAGCACACGAAAATTCCGAAAAAAAGATTATTGGGGCTATTGCAATTTTTTCTTATAGACAACAATTACTTCCAATATGATGGAAAATATACACACAAACGTATGGCATGCCAATAGGGAACCCGTTCGATAAAAAAAAACCCACTGTTGCCTAGAATAGGAGAACAGTACAACAATAACTAATTTCAAAATATGTAGACGACATTTTCCCAATTTTAGACAAAGAGCATGTTACAGCTGTTCTAAAAATTTTACGTCACTATCGGTTAGTGGAAATATGAATACATTTTTTATGTTTTACGTATTCCAGTACAAAAAATTTTGTATAAAAAATGTTTCAAGTACTCCAATTTCACGGTTTCCTTATACCAAGAGATTCGGGCCAGCCGAAACAATTCCTATAAGTGTACAATTTGTTTGTGTACACACTATGGATTCCATAAATTATTTAAACATGCTGAGCAACAGATTGACTAAATGCTGCTGTTTTCTCTTTTGTTGTTGTTGATTGGAGATAATAAGGTCAATCTCATCGATTACAAACAAATGATACGAAGAAGGGTATATAGAGCATCTTCCGCTCCGTGCTACAAATGCATATTCATTGCCTTCTCAAATACCGCATTATAAACACTATATACACGAATGCGAGCTTCGTTTATTTTCATAAGCTCAGTTTTGTATTTAAAGATCCATCTCTGACTTGACTTGAGATTCGAGTCTGTTATTTCACGATATTTGTTTTAATTATATTCACCAATGGTTTGGGGTATTTGTTTTCAAAATGTTTTTATTTTGTCAATGTTTGTGTGCGTGTGTGACGAGCGGCGGCGTACCTGACTAATTTCGTCATTACGAAACTGTGAATGGCTGCTAACCGGTTTTTTGAGTTATCTGTTTTGTGCGAAAACAAAAAAATAAAAAACGGGGCTAACAAAAATTCACAACGTCGTGTCTGTGTGATTGTAATTTAAATTAACATCGACAACAATAACAATTTAATAATTTAAAAGCTATTGTGTTGCTATTTTCAACAGCACGCCGCTAGAAATTCAATTTCATGTATCCAACTACTACACCTTCATATAGTGGATGTGTGGATGCCAGCGAACTGCGATACCCTTGTCCATTGTCATACCGTTGCATGCTAGCTTTAACCGTGTTTTGATTTACACAAAAAGCAATTCTGAGAACTTGTAATGAAAATCGTTAACTATAATTTAGAATTGCAATGTCTACATACAAATATTCACATAAAAATTTGACAATTTGATTGATTTCACATCATGTGATTACTTTTAAAACTCGGAATAATGAAAACTTGTCTTTAAGCAACTACTATATTGAAACACATTTATATGCCCAAAGATTGAGAAAGTGTGCCTCATTGACTAATAAGAAAGCTTTAATGCCTCGTTTATTTACATTTTATTTAAATTGGAAATTCACTAATCTTAAGGCATACCCAACAATAAACAAAAAACGTTACAAATTGCATTGATTTGGATTATTCTCAATTCATTTTTTTTGTTCAAGACAAACAATGAAATCATAATAACGTTCTCAGAAAGCACACTGAATCTACTTGATATCACAACCGGTTTTCGTGTTTCAACGATTTTTAAAATGCTTTGCTCATATTTGTTTTTTTTTTTTTGTTATTACTATTTATTGTTATAATTTATGTGTATTGTCCACACAATTATTGCACTGAAGGGAGTATGAGTATTGATGAATCAGATTGTTTATTTTCTTTGAAATTCGATTGACACATATCTAATTGATTTAATAATTTCCGACTATGCGATATGTTTATCTTTCTAGCCTCCTCATGCATATATGATTTGTAAGATGGATAATGGAATTTGTTGTTGATCGTTAAAATTCCCCATATATTGTTTGTTTTCTGAATATAGTCAACTATGAATAAATTATCCGATATATTAACATATTATACCCGTTCCAATGCTAGTCAAATAGAGTGTCATAAATGTAAAATACAGACGAAATCGCATATAACGGAGGGCAAAGCACCGTAAAAATCGGGCGCTATACGCGAAATGTCGTTATAAAGGATATCAAATTAACGGCAGAATCTTTCTCGGGACTTTTAACACAGTCGTTATAAACTATTTCGAAAAAATGAATTTTATAGTTTAAACAGAGCAAATATATTATATACTTGTAATTAATTTAGGAATCTCTGGGAGATTTTGTAACAATATCACTCATCGCCGTTTGTCTTAATCAATTCTTTTGCTGTCTTGATGAAAGATAAAATTCCATTAGATTCTGTCTGCAAGTATGGACAAATGTATAAATTATAAAAAAAAATCATGATTCCTCCAAATTTCACAATTTTTATTTATTTATTTCTCAAATTTCATTTTGGTATAAAACAAAATTGTTATTACTTCAATATATCATTTTACGTACAGTGTGCATGTATAAAAGTATGTAAAAGCAATCATTTTTAAGACGCAATAATTTGTTCTTTCCATACGACAAAATATGTTGTGTGGACAGACAGACGACGAGACACTATCGGCATCCTGTCTGCTTTTATCATAGGGGAGGAAAATGTCATTCATTATTGTTGTTGTGGAGTTCAGTGATGCGTCAGAAGAATGTAATGCTGCGTAGAAAGTGAAATTCTTAATATCAGCATTCATCACTAACTGAAAAATATTATCCCTCACATTGTTGTTTGGCAATAGTGGGGTAGCAAGCAAACAAAGAAGCAAAACAACTTGCTGCATTCCCATATTACGCACTATACAACCGGCACATGCTCTCTGTAGGTACATTAATGTGAGAGAAAGGCGAAACGATTGCAAATCCTTCCCCAAATGTGGCACAATACGAAATTTGTTGTAGATGTTGTCCCCCGCTAATGCCACATTGTGGATGACAGTTAAGGAAATGAAACTAACCAGTGGTGTAATTTTTTGATTGCTGGTGCGTGCGGAAGGAGTATGACAAGTTTTCAATACTACCAACTTCTCTTAATCGAATGCTCAAATATGTGTGAAAACAAACACAGGCATGGAACCCCTAATGCTAACTACGTCGTATTTTATGTTGTTGTGAATATCAAACAAAACATTTTGGAAGATGAAGCCCTGCAAATGCCTACGAAGACAAATTTGCTGCAAAGACGTACCCGACACGTACACAAAGAGCTTCAATCAGGTTTTCTTCAGTTTGTGGATGATGATGGTGGTGACGTCATTTTTTGGATTTTATGTATATTTTAACCTTCGCTGAAATCATATTTGCCTTTAAATGTATTGTTGGTAATTTTTTATTCTGGATGATAAAAAATATTTATGTATTATGAAGTGGAAGAAGATTAGTCATTTTTTTGGTCTTGAGATGATAAAAATATTTATGTATTTAAATATCACTTCCTTGTCCCTGGTCTATGAAACACCAATCATACATGGACTGTACAACATTTTTGGTAAATATGTAATGATTTGAAATGTAGAATGTCAATACAATACATCTTATTAATTAAGAAATGCGTTTAATAACAATACCAATCCGAAAGATATTTCTTTGATACATATGTGGTTAAAATGTATCTGCCTCTTAGCTACTTGGCGCCAATAAAACGGACAAATAAAATTGTTGTGTGCTCAACCACTAGACAAGTAGTTTTATCCAATTAAAATCTGTTTGCCAGCATCATTTTCATTCTTCATCATGTGTCCTCCATACTCAGATGGCTGATGTCACATAACATGAACTTTGTCAGACGGCGGGTATACAGCCTAACCTTCTTATATACAAATATAAGAATCTATGTATGTACTCATCATTTCTATATATTATTTTTTGTTGTTATTGTTCGCAAAAAAAGGAATGATATTTCGTGGGTGTGAAACATAAACGGCTGTTTAGGGAATCCAAAAAACAAAAATAATTACATTCTTTAGATCATGTTGTCATGCCTAAAGGTTATTGTTTGTGTGCTCTGTTGTGGTATACACATTTTTTTAACTTATCGCATTTATAGCAATTATGAAGTTGTTAATTTAATTAAAACAATTGCAAGTGTGTGACCACGGATATATGCCTCCAATGAGTACTAAATTTAAAGCCCTAGTGTATGCGTGTAAACATGCAAATAGTTTGTAACAAAGGAATGCTCATATGAAGGTGTATATGTATACAACAGTATTATTCTCATGTAAAATTTAGCAAACCAATATGACAGCATACAGTTATATTTATATGAAAATATAACCCAGCGAAAAACAACATGTTAAGATTAGATCAGTTTTTAATAATGAATGAACTTCAGTTATTTTTGCAAAGGAGTGCAGAACCATAACTAACACAACGAATCCGCTATATCTTTAAAAATTGTTGAGATTTTCACTTGAAATAGAAATAATGGAAATTCGATACACACTTTATTTTTTCCTGTTTTCTATATTCTAAAGACATTGCGGTTTTAATGTTAATCAAATGAAAAACATTTGGTAGCCAACTATATTTTTCGACGATGGTGTCCTTCTAAAACACTTACATCTCACAATTGATTATACTGAACTATACATTTTAGAGTCGCTGAACAGCAACATGTATAAATTGCTGTGCGATGTTGAAAATATTAGCCATAGGCTTTGCGAAGTTGAACGTTGATTTAGACAGATTTTACTGATTAGATAGTTCGTCTGTATATATTTTATATATATTATTTTACCTATTTATATTCTACAGAAAATTCATTATTCTTATTGAATGGACACTGAATCATGATTTGAATAAACTCATAGGGTAGTAATACTTTTTCAACTATGAATCATGGATGCTTTTAAAAAATATGTAACACATTTATATTTTCACTACCGAATTGGTAAACAGAACCACAATTGCGATGGTTGTTGTTATATTTTACATGCGATGATCTGGAATCTAAAAATATCCTACAAAAGTAAGGAGCGTACTACCAAAGAACTGTAAGGCAATTACTTATTGTATAGTCAATAAAACCAATACTACCATAATTTTTGTTGTATAAAAGTTTACTCTAAATAAAACCTATAAAATGTAGGATGTCAGCAGTCGTACCAGTCTTCGCGGTCATGCTCTCTATGATTTTTGTAATCGTCACAGATGTTTTCCCAGAAGGATGGACTTTGCCGGATTTTAAAAATAACCTCCGTTCCATAACAACATCCACAACAGGCATTTTACTTCCTCTTTCAAGTTTTGCCATGAATAAATTAAATTTCTCACTAAGTTTTCTTTATTCCTCCTTCACCTTGGACATTTGGAAAGTATGTAAAACGGAATTGTGGTGGTGCTATTCACAGAGCCTGACAATTAACACTTAAAAAAGAAACGTTCATTGCCATTACCTTTATTTTATGAAAACCAACAGGTTTTATTAATAAGAAACAATTTCCTAGTAAAGAATCTGTCAGCTGCAGTTATTTCCACAAAGATGATCTCATATGTTTACTTTTTCTCCCTCGTTTTTTATTATTTGGCATCGCCAGCCACTGTTGTTGTGAATAAAAATAAGAAGAAAATCGACAACAATACATGAACGACATAAATTCTTTATTGAGTTCACAAAAATTATTGTTTGCATTGACAGACTATTGTTGTTGGGTACAATATGGAATTTTGAATTGCAATAATATATTGTACTAAATTTAACATTTTATTTTTTTCAATAACAACAATAAATTTAAGTCAATTTATAAGCAAATATAAGTTTCTATAGTCGTATTTTTAATCTAATGGAGTATTGTATTATGGGATTAATTGTGAAATCCTGTTCCAATAAATGGCCTAGACAATTTTACAATTAAGAAAATAGTTCTACATATACGATATGGACCCGAACAAGTTTTATGAAAATTTAGTTAGGATCTGAAAAAGAGGAAATGAATTGGAAAAAAAGAAATTCATTTTGTTTTAGTTTACCTTTTAAATTATGTATATAAAAACACTTTATTTATTACTGCCGAGCAATATGCTTATCTAAGCACGTATGTTATTGCATATTTTCGCATTTGTTTGCCATAATAATAACACGACCACAAACGATTGCACAAATCCCCCAGATGGTTATGTGGTAACCTTAGTCGCTTTCAGAATACATAATTAGCAAATCGGTAGACATATTAGAAATTCCACAGAAATACAGACTATAGTCATATTTCCCTAAATAGTTGGGTGGTAATGGACAAAATGTGCACGACATGAATGACATTTTCTACTAATTAGGAATGAAACCCTTTGGGAAATACACATTGACCTCATAGAAGTGCAGAAAAATGCAGTTATGTTTCCACAATAATTTTATTTGAATTCATATTTGAATCGGAAGAAGAAGTTCCCAATTGTCCCATTTGAACTTCTAATAAATCTGTCCAACAACTACAATGCCTTATTTTTTCTTTATACATACAAATTTATAATATTCTTCTTTTATTTTTGCAGATTCTTGGCATTTTGGTCATTGTCTTTGGTGTTCTAATTTTGAACAGCATTGGCATGATCGAAGTTAATGGCCAAACTGGATTCCCACCTCAAGCAGCCATGCCAATTGGCATGATTACCATTGGTTCGATTGTTGTATTCATCTCATTTTTGGGCTGTTGCGGTGCCATTCGTGAAGATGTCTGTATGACAATGTTCTATGCCGTCCTGATGTTGATATTGCTGATCGTTCAATTGGTCGTTGTTGTTTTGTTATGGACTAATCAGGATAAAATTGAAGGAGCCATGAATAATGTTATTGAAAACGCCTGGGAATCCGAAATTCGTGAAGCTGGTGTATTTGAAGTTGTTCAAGAATCGGTGAGTAACGTCGTGAGCGGTAAAAATGTCCAATATATAATGTTTTCCCTTAACTATTCAGCTCAAATGTTGTGGTGTCAATGGTGCCCAAGATTATGCTCTTGCTGGTCGTATTCCACCAAAATCGTGCTGCCCTGCAGATGAGACTTGCATCCTTATTAACTACTATTCCGGTTGTAAAAAAGAAGCCCGCAAATTCATTACAGGCAGCTCGGAAAAGGCTAAATACTTTGGCATTGGTTTAATTGTTGTTGAGGTGAGTATTGTATTTGATATTCCAATTCATGATCGAATTATAAATGAGTGATTCATATGTCGTTGATTTATCATATTTAATTCAGAACTGAGAAAATAAGGTAGCTTGGGAAAAATTGTAATTGTTGCCAGGAACATTAAATTAAAATATCATTCGTGACACTGTCGGAATCATATATTTGAGCTATAGGTCGGTCTTATTACTCAATTCAATAATAATTGAGAGTAGTACAACAAGAATGTGCATAATTCCTGACAAAGCTTTGAAAACACATTAATATCTGCAAAGAAATTATAAATTTCATTGTAGTTAATCTTGAATTCCTATGACCACAACAATCTTTTCTAACTGTCCCCTTCGGTCCTTAATTCAGGGGCAATGTATCTGATATTAAATATTTAATTTTATTGGCTTAAGGACAACCTACACGTTCAAGGCTACATAACACATTTAAGGAGACATCGGATATAACGACATTTTCAATTATTTCTAGGTGTTGAGCTTAATTATATGCATTACTAGTCATTCCGTCCATGGTTTATATATTCAATTTACACAATTGATGATGCACAAACAAGTACATACATTTACTATAATTTAAACATATTTTTCAATTTTTTCTCTGCAGCTTGTCGGTTTCATTTTTGCTTGCTGTCTGGCTAACAATGTACGCAACAATAAGCGACGAAACGCTTACTAAATTTGGAAAGCAATGAAGGACGACGAATTCCAATACCAACATTGCCACCAAAAACAATATACAAAAAATATAGTTTTTCCTCAAGTAATTTTTTCATGCACATAAAGGATTTTCCGACGCAGAAATACACAAAAAATAGATATAGATTGTTATATTACAACAAAACAACAAGTATACCTGCTAAATCAAACCAATAGAATAAGTAATGCAAAATTACCAAATTTCATATATACAAACACGCATACATATATACCACATAAATTTATATTCTATATACAAATGTATATCAGTTAATCGTTATATTGTTTTTGTCCTGTAATAGATTTACAGATAACACAAGAACAAATTACTGCATATATAAACGTTGAAAATACAATGCAAAGTAAGGTGTGTTGAAAGTCATGTATTAATTATTCTCATTATCTGCTGTATATGAAATATTTTTTTATTATTAGTAGTATTTATGTAAAAAGTGAAAAAAAAACAAAAAAGATTTTGCACAATGAATTTCCCTACATTATTACAATATTTATGTACATATTTACATAATTTTTGTATGTTTGTATTCCATTTTGTACGTTGTTCTTTAATAAGTACGCCAAAATGTCCCTCCAATCAAAAAAAAAAAAAAAAACCTTAAATTTAAATGGACAAAGAATTCTCATGTTATTTTATTTATGAAAACATATTTATTTTTCTATCCCTTTATTGTCATTGCATTTTTTTATAGAAATCTCAATATTTTTATACTATCTCTAAACAAGTTAAGGAATGAAATAATAATCTCGAAGCACAATAAATATAAAGGGAAATAAAATTTATAAAAAAAAACACAAATGTGTAGTTTATTATACGAAAAATATATAAAATGTTGATGAAAAAACTAATATTCAGGAATTACGTATATATATATCTTACGTATATTAATTAATCCTACGGCTAAAAACGAAACTAAATTTGCAATTACTGTGTTCAACAACTGCCAAAAAACATAAGTTTTATTAATGGATTTGCTATTTATTTAACAACAAATTAAGAAAAGTGCCTGGTGGATTGTTAATTATCCTGGGTTCTAATAGAAAAAAGCCTAATGATACTGGAACGTGTTAAACGACGTCGCCTTAAGAACGCATCGGAGTTAACAGTGTGCCTGAATCTCTGTAAGTATTTGTGATCGTCATTTCAAAGGCCCAAGTCTTCCATTAATATGTGAAGCTTTTTGTATCTATTTTCAGGATAAATAATAAAGCATTTATGACTATATTGAGATCATTTGGTCCTTTCTTCTGTCGTATTGCTAAGATCTAACTCTCTTCCATGTTCCACAAAACGGGAGACTAAGTTCCTAATAATGTTGTGACTGGGTGCTGTTCGGACATTAATGACGACGATATTTTGTTAGTTGAGTTGTAATAATGTACCTTCCAGAAGAATAAACAAATTCAATGATTTTGACACGTTTCTGCACATCACATGTAACCATGATTTATCTCCTAAAACCAGTAAATAACCTGTAAAAGACAAATAGAAAATTATTAAAAACAAAAAAGATATACACACAAAAAAAAAAAAATATACAGCCTTATTCTGGATGTCAATTCCACGTGAATTTACTCGCTCTTCCCCTTCGTCTTATTCTGAACAACATTTTTGTGTGAATTTTTTCGCATTCTCGCTTTCGCCTTATGAATGAAGTTCGAAAGCGAAAAAATCCGCTTTGGGGAAAAATTATGTATTCTGGATTACAGGGAGTAGGAGAATGAGATGAAATTTTGTGCGAATTTTTTCGCTAATAAATTCAAAGTGAGTTGACTACAAAAACATAACTAATAAATATTTTTATGAAAAATATTAACACAATACTTATTCTATGACGATTTAGAATATTATAAATGATAGTAAGCAAATATTTATCTGGAAAACAGCAAATAAAATGCCTTTGAAAATCCTATTGATAATGATGCATGCTGAACCAAATATTGCCAAGGAATGTATAACGTTAGCTAAAATGCAAAAAGGCGTAACTACCAAAAAATTGTGTAGGAGAAGCAAAAAACTGTTTTGAATGAAAACTATAAACATGTCATGTGAAATGAAAAAGTGTGCCCGGCAGGGTGATATTGCATATGACGAATAATAGACTATTTTTTTTTAACAAATTTAGTTATTTAGTTTAATGGCAGTCACAACAATTAAGTAAAAACGTGAATTTTTTGTTAGATACGCCTTTTTGCATTTATCAAATAAACCCACTTGTAGTTACGTCTTTTTGTTAATAGAAGCTCCTTTTTTGACCGCAGACACGTAAAACTTTGTCAACACATGTAGTTTATTGACATGCACAATATTCATTCAAAAAGTCAATTTTCAATTTTTTTTTAGTTACGCCTTTTTGCATTTTAGCTGACGATAAAGGTAATAATGAATATTTAAGTCGAGTTTGATGCATTTTGGAGGCGAAAAACAGACATTTTGGGTGAGGATCTGTATCTCAAGAAAAAAAATTATAGAAAAACAAAATTTGCCTAATGAGCCGCTTAACAGTGAAAAACTTAAATAAAAACTATGAAACAAAAAAAAATATATATTTTTTTTCAAAATTATCGTTTGCATTATTTGAAGGAAGAAATAAAGGAATAGGAGCATAACAGGCCACTTTAAGAATTTGGAGAGATAAAATATCGAAATTAAATAAAAAGGCACTCAATTTTGTGCCTGTGTTTTTCCCATCATAAAAAATGTTCTTTTATTTGTAATCTATTGTAGTTGTTGTACCAAAATGCATCAAAACAATGAACAAACTTATTAATTTTCTTTTAATTACAAAGCATTTATAAAGCGGATTCTTGATATTTCACATTTATATTGTTATAAAGTTTAAACCACAATAACAAGTAACAATTTTTAATAAAATAATCAATAAATAAAATATTGAAAAATGTTACACAATTAAATTACAATGGGGCAACACACATTACAACTTAAATTACAATATGGCAACACACATTACAACTTAAATTATAATATGGCAACACGAATCTTTTTTCAACCACCATTTTCGAAAACTCGAATCCGCATCTCGCATTTTTTGCGTCTCCCTATTCATTCAGAATAAGGCGAGAATGTGAAAGCGAAAATTTTTGTATGTGCGAGATATCTCCCAGCGAATATCCAGAATAAGGTTGATAGAATCAACATTGCAAAATGTTGATTTAACATCGGCGTAGTTTTTTTAGAAAAATGTTATTTTAAATTTGTTTCATATAAAATCAGCAATAAAACATGTTAATTTAATATCAAACATTCTTCTATTTTAAAAATTAAATAAAATTGACTCATGTTGAAACAACATTTCAATCGTGTTTATGTTGACGACTGAAGCGTTTGAACATTTTTTTTAGAAATTAAAACAAAAAACATGACCGGACAAGAACAGGACAAGATCATTCTCTATCTATCTATTCAATACTTAATGCAACATAAAGTGTAAATAAAGAAAATTATCCGGTATGTTCTGGAACTCACGGTGTGTTCTTTTCACTTTACACATACACTTCACCTCAGAAGCTACCTCCTGTTCTGCTTCTCACGTGAATTGAAATTTTGAACTGCGACAAAAATAAACGTCGACATGGTACTTTGCAGAAATAGTGTTGCCATACAATATAAACTGTATTCGTTTTTAACATTGTTTCTATAATTTTTTAGTAATTTCGTTAATTCTAACGACAATTTTATTATTATTTTTTAATATTTTATTATTCGCAACATAAAATATATGTATGAAACCTCTGTAAAATCATTAATTTGTTGATTGATTTAAGGGGAACATTTGGTAACCCTATCTTCTTCGGCCTTACTTCAAATCAGCTGTTTGTGTCAAGCAAGAAATTCAGTTGAAGAAAATTCAAGACAAACCTTAGTATCTATTTAAAATTTGTTTTTAATGGTGTTCCATGTCCTATTTCTATCATCATGTGCGTTTTTTATTTCAAAAAAGATTTTCTTTTATATGAAAAAACATGAATACACCCTACTCTCACTATGGAAATGTAAGTGTAAAGAATACACCTCAAATGGGTGTAAAGTGTGTTACAGAACACCTCGGCGTGTGATCGATACACTTCTGCCATTGAAGTGAATGCCAGAACATGCCCGTATATGGGATCTATATATAAATCTGAACCGATTTTGACCAATGTCAATAGAACTCGTCTATGTGCAAATAAAATTTCATCCCAATTGGATTGATTTTTTCCAAATTTCATCCCGTTCGGATCATAATGGTGACATGTAAAATAATACATGAATGGAGGGACATGCATAAATGGTCTGAAAAATAGTTCTATGTATATACTAAAAGGTAACTATGGGTCTATGTCGTTTCTGTACCAAGACATAATGCCCTGTGCCACAGTGCGGTGAAGGAGACAAACACATTTTTGCACAAAAATATCAAATAAAATAAACGGCTGACCACAATTTTAGAGATGTGTTTTTGTTTTTTTGATATTATCGATAAATAGTCGACATCGTCACATGAGTGATACAGAATACTAAATCTGTGTCGAAGTGATGTCGATGCGAAGTGACGGAATAGGGCTGCATGTTGAATCAAAATGAAACGATGATGAAGCAAAATGTTGAATCAACATGATTTTTATTGATTTTTTACAAGGTTTTTTTTTTGTGTGTAACCATTTTTAATCCTTCAGTCTTTTTGGGCCACCCTGTAGGATAATGGATTTCTTCAAATAGTTGCTTTAACAACTTTGAGTATTTTGGAAGCTTCAGATAATGAAATTAATTCAGTCCCACTTGTCGACGTTGTCAAGAGGTTTTTGGCAAGACCATCCTATTGTACTTCCATTATAATAGCAAATTCTACCACTATTGGATTTCCTTTCGGTTCTTTCTTCTGCCCAATTTGCATCAGCATATCTAACGAGACTTTGTTCATTTTCATCGTTTAGCTGTGAAGTAGAGTTAAGATATTTCAGAACACCTTTACATTAAGACCAATCCTCCATTGTAGGGTTGGCAACCCTTTGAGC